TGCTAAGTGATGATGAAATCATGGAAATGGAATTTCAGCATGATTATGGAGGACGGAATAATTAAGGAAACGCACTTTAATAGCGGCGGAGGTTATCGAGGCACGTATCTCCGTCCCCCATCGAATTGTTGAAAATGAGAACAAATGTAAGAAGGAGATTAAGAAAGGGAGCGGTAAAGGCAACATGAGAAGAAGGAGATTTTTTCTGCTTCATTTGCTCTTTCGATGGCTTTGTTCTCTTTAAAGTGACTCGGTAACATTGCCTCAGATTCTGAAACAAAATCCTGGATTTAGCTAATGCTGCAATCATAATTATAAACCTTTAGGTCAGTCAGGAAACTCATGACTTTTACAAGCCGATCCACCTGTCTGATTAGCAAGATATTTATGATTCGAAATCGAAATTTCATTTTTCGTTTTCCTAACTGTTTTTATAACACTACAGTCTATTGGGGGAAATGAGTATGGTAAAACCGGTCACTCAAGGATTTTTACTTTTTTGAGACACTTCATGATGATTTTGAAGCGCAATTTGTTCAGGTCTTCAATATTACACCATATCACAGTCACTGATAACGCGTAGGGCCATGCATCACAGATTTAACATTGTTAAACGATGCCTTTAACCAGATTGGTACCACTGCTCCCGAGACGCTTTTGCATCTCCGATGGCTGGACTCACCCTAAGCCACGGAGAACATTTTCACACATTTCTACCATTTTCTTTTTTGATTCGATTGCAATTGGCTGTAAGCATTCGGTTCAATAAATATCTAATGCCCGTATTCCCTTACTAATCAGATTGATACCATGCCAACTTGAGAAGAGTAATGATCTAAACAACTTAAGCCATCGTCAGACAAGAAACGAAACAAGTGCTACAGCCCGCGGTGAGTCAGTAAATTATCTCTAAAATTACCAAGCTATCAATATCATGGCTGAAATTAATTGATTGACTTCTGGGCCCTGTTTCATAAAACCCAATGCCAATAACAAGTTACAAGCTACTGTTATAAGCTACTGAATCCTGGCATCTGATTGGCTGAGAACAAGTTTTGTCATACAAATTTAGCAGTTGTTATAGATAACAAGTTTTATGAAACACCCCTGATCTATCCACCTTTCCTTGAAGCGGGTTACTAAGTAGTTTAAATAGTTCCGTAGTACTGGGCAAGATAGGTTATAATTTAGCTTGGTAACAGTTACACAGTATTTTTTTTGGCGCCCTCAACAAAATTTGCTCGTTCACATTGAGGGCGCTGCGAGGGTGTAAACAACACAATGAATTGGACTCCTGGGAACATAATCCCGAATGCACTCATTTCTTGCTCATTTGCATTTTAAGTGTTTATTAAAGATAAAGGTGAGTTCTGGTCATCTGATAGCATTGTGAAAGAAAAGGTGTGGAATGGATCAGAACAAGTTGATCATGTAGTATGTAAGTATTGGTGTGTAATGCAAAGTTCTGGAGTCATCAAAATCATAATAGATTTGGCCCAATCTTGGTAAAGTAACAAGCATTGTACACAGAAAGATGTATATGGGACCAAGGAGGATATTCTTTGATGGGACTACACAAATGGTGTCGGGGCTACTAACCTAGTATCCTAATCTTTCTATGCTCATTACTCAGCCAGTATACATTTTCTACCAAAATTGTTTGGCAAATGAAATTTATTTGTAATCTTAAACATTGAGTGTAATTTTTGTTTGATTCTGTGAGAATTTAAAAAAAAAAAAAAAAACCAGAACTCACCTTTATCTTAAACCTCCAGACTACTGAATTATCTTTTTTAACATGGTTTAATAAAAGAACCACCTGGCTCCAGTAGGCAATAGGTTCTGTTATTCAACTATACTTAATAATTGTCGAGGGTCTTCCTCGACAGGCTACTGGCCTATGTAATTCCCCTCCACGTTATCATCATCATTATCCTTTTTTCGAGTAAGCTTTACTGTAATGTTACTATTCTCTTTAATGTTTTATTGCATTTTTATGTAATTCTTTGTGAGAATAAATCGAACCAACAGACCAAATTGCCAATTTTGAGATTCGCACTTATTCAGTGATCTATAATTTTCTTATCATTGGTCCGATTCATTTCAAACTTTCATCATTCTGTTTATCTTTTTTCCTGCTTTCATAAAAATAAACTTATGACAAGCGATGGATTGCCCTTTAAATCAAATCGGAAATCATATGTGATTAATATTCAACAGTAATAACATATCTGTATTCTGGAAGACTTTATTCCAAAACCCTTAGGGGTGTCGTTCTTTCAATAAACTGACTCTAAATCCAAGAGGATCCCAGCTCTGAACTAACGTCCTTTAGCAAGACATTAATCCACATTTGCCACCCTCCATCCAGCATTGTGAGCGTCTGTAAAATGGAGCCGGGTTGGAACGCCCCCAAGGGAGTGGAGAATGTGCATACATCTTGTGCGGGCAAGCCTTAATTTCCGATGACCAGGGTAATAGTACAACTGTAAATATTATCGACTATTATTATGGTCGATATTATTATTATAATTGACCAAACTTGATCTTTCAAGACGCCCGTGGAAAACTGCTGTCATTCGGAGGCAGCGAAAAAGTCGAATACGCTAGACAATATTTAATGCTGGGGGGGGGGGGGGGGGGGGGTCGTTACAAATTTGTCGACATACAAATAGCCGAATTTTGAACACCCCAAAGTAAATACATGAGCGGACATAGGCCAAGTGATCATTGTGAGCGTCTGTAAATGGAGCCGGGTTGGAATGCCCCCAAGGGAGTGGAGAATGTGCATACATTTTGTGCGGGCAAGCCTGATTCAGATGACCGGAGTAATAGTACATCTGTAAATATTATCGATTAATATTATGGTCGATATTATTATTATAATTGACCAAACTTGATCTTTCAAGACGCCCGTGGAAAACTGCTGTCATTCGGAGGCAGCGAAAAAGTCGAATACGCTAGACAAATATTTAATGCTGGGGGAGGGGGTAGGGTTCATCACAAATTTGACAACATAAAAATAGCTAAATTTTGAACACCCCTATAAGTCAATATATGAGCCGACAAAAGCTCATTAAGTTCCGCGACTAACAAACAAAATTTAAACCAGGTTGGTGTTTACCTGCAAGGACTCTCTCTCTCTCTCTCTCTATCTGTCTCTCTCTCTCTCTTTGATGAATGAAAATATTGTATAGGAATATTGAAGATTGCCTTCGTCTCGTGTTTTTCAGTTTCTCAGCTATGCCCATTACTGATGCCCATCTTTAAATCAGGTCTCACTTAACAATTTCGCTGGTTCTACAGTAAAGTGATTTCACGCACAATCGCATCCCAATGATAAACAGAGATTGGAGATCGACAAAACGAGGGCAGTGGATTGATTACCATCGTGCAATCCGATGGCTGGATCCCTTGTCAACAGCTTTCGATCATTTTTGCCATAAACCATTTCTATTCTGTAGGCTAGGTACTGTCGTGGAAAGCATGACATGTGGGAATTATGTGGATATGATGTTATCACATGCAGACATGTACAAATCATCACATAACAAAAATGCGATCAAAGCTATGCATCAATTACCCTTGAGTTGTTTACGTTTCAGACAATGCATTATAATGTCTTTGGTCCAACGTGTGGTTTCGAGATTTTTTTTTCCTCTATCGTTTTGTATTTTTTCTGAGATGGGCTCGGGGAATGATGGTAAAAGTTATCAAGCTGCTTAAATACCGACGTTCAAATGTACAATTTTACCTTTCTTGATTTTCATTTTAATTTGAATATACATAATATCCAATATAATTTTATATAACTATGGAAACTGAGTTTTTAAAGGCGTAATGCAGACCGTGTACATATCCCTTTAGGTTTTGTTAAAAACCATCAAGAAAACCTAATGATAAAAGGTGAAAAAACATGTCATATCTTATATTTGCATCCCTGTTTAATGGTAAGAAACAGAAACAACGCTATTTCTGATGAATGGGTACGGGCTATACTACATTCAATCCCTACTTTAATGGAAGCTCGGAACTTAAGAACTGATTTCCATATTTTCCTGGAAAGCACACGATATGGAATATTCAATTTTTGAACAAGTCGCGGAACCCCCGGAACCACCTTCTTTTCATAAAGAAGAAATGAACTTTCAACGACGTGGATGTGGTTGCGTTGGCACGTAAGATTGACACCGTCATGAAATCATTACCTCTAATTGAGTGAAACTCAACGCCCAATTGTGAGACCCGACCCGGCCAAGAAATCGCGCCAAACGAGACTGTCATCGATTTCCATTTGCGATTGATTTTCTGCCGTCCTCTTTCTCCACCCCTCAAACTATTACTTGAAGAGAATCGACAGGTTTGGAGAGAAGAAATCGTCTAAATTGTCTGCGAACTGTCCAGTGAAAATATCTCAATTTCGTCTCAACCTTTATGACGTTCTATCACAAGGAAATCCATTATTGAGTTTCATGATAATTCAGCCGTAAATAGGGAGAGGTCTTCGACCTGGATTACGTTATACCACCGAATTTAGAACCACAATGATTTTGTTTTCTCAATGGAACTCGGGTGGTAACGTTTACTTCAAGTGATAAATAGCTTATCATTGCGTTATCTTGAAATGACTAACAACGTTAGCGGTCCAGTGGATATGGCGAATTTGTGCGAGTTCATATTCCAATGCGACACATAATGTATTAGTTATGAATAAAGAGGGGTGGTAGAGGGTAACGGTGAGGGCTAAAAGGAGAGAGACTGGGAGAGAGAGAGAGAGAGAGAGAGAGAGAGAGAGAGAGAGAGAGAGAGAGAGAGAGGAAAGAGAGAGAGAGAGAGAGACAGACAGAGAGAGACATAGAGAGAAATAAAAACAAAACTAGCGAAAAGTAGCTGTAACTATTATTAAGTCACTGTATAAGTTTTGTTTTCATGCCTATTCTCTTTTTCATCCACCATGTCCACAACTTTCTAAAAATGTCTCCCCTTTTCTCCTACTTTTCTATTTTCCCGCTCCAGCTCGTGGTCCACGAGCTCATGTCACCATCTTTCAACCCGACGTTCTACCAGTGTGTCGATTACGGCTTCAAGGAAAAGTACTTCCGGCTGTGGTGGCTCTATCATATCTTCGTCACTCTCATTATGTACGTGGTTCCCTTGGCAACCATATTCGCTTGCTATTCATCCATCGTCTGGAAAATCGTTAGAAGAACAAATGGATGTAAGTATCTGCTTTATTTTTAAAGAAAATTAATAAAGGTTTTCCCTCTCTCTCTATCTCTCTCTCTCCTTTTCTCTCTTTCACTTTCCCTCTCGTTCTCTTCCCCTCTCTGCTAATCGATATGTATGTCGATATGTTTATTCCATCAAATGTATTGTAACAACTCTCTGGAGTAAAATAACGGAGGGAATTAAATCAATTCGGCAAATCGGCAAGACAATGCATTTGCTAAAATGCTTTGCAGATGCTACCAATTGTATTGATAAATTATACAAATGCATACTTATTACATTTGTCATATTATTTCCAAGTATCTTTCAAATGATTTTTCCCCATATTATTTCTGTAACAATTATTATGAATATTATGTTTCCCCGTTTTATAGGTACAGGATTATTTTGTTGGCCCCCAGTGAACTGGTAAACTTTTGTAATCCTTCCCCCGACAAATGAAAATAACCCACTTTTAAATCACAAACAATCGGTTAAGATATCCGTTGGACTATTGTGCAACGTTAACAATGCGTATATTGTCGAACGCATGAAAAAGATGAGTTTAAAAAGGCTCGATGCCCCTCATATTTTAACAAAACTAAGATTGATACTGTATTATTCTCTACCACGACGTGCCTCATAGCAAGTACTCTAACCTCCCCCACAATGATCATGATGATGGAGCAGAGATAGAGAGGGGCAAAGATGGGGAAAGTATGTTGAAACTTTGCATTCCCGGAATGTTCTTCGAGCTCAAAGTCTCAAGAGTGCAACGCTAGCTTAAATTCTATCGGGAAATCTTCATGAATGACCTGTCATGAATTCTGTACCATCCCATGGCTGTTCCAATTTGTACTAATCAGCTTCGGTCTATAAGTCCATCGGGAATATTTAACGGGTCCGTTTACGCGCCAACCAAAATGAAGAGAGAACTAACTTCAGAGGGATGTGTGTGTATAGTTGACTATATAGTCGCAGGCTATACAGCTTGAGGTATTGTAGGACGGAAAGGGAAACTGATCACTGATGGCATGGGGTTTCATGGGGAAGACATGATTTAGAATGCGCTTTAGTTATATGCGTATACTGGTGACGGTGTAATCATTTCTTGTCAGTCTTGGTCGTAAATAGGTAGCCATTGATATCACGTTAGACAGGAAAAATACGTCATACGATATCACGTGGTTAGTACGTCCGTAGAGTGTACTATTCTGCATCACCTCACAATCCTGACTATGGTCTCCCGATACGTGTAGTTTGAGGAGCCCCTTTCCCCAATGCTTTTTGCTTACAAGTTATGTGATCTAAGGTCAAACAATCCACTTTAAATTGGGGTTCAAAAGTTTTGAGAAATCCAACGTAAATACTTTGTTGAAGAATAACAAAAGTCTTAGTCTAGAATATTAATCTAGAATAGCATCCTTTTAAGTTATCACTAAGCTTTCCTCATGGTGAACAAATTGCCAAACTATTTAACATAAATTACAAAATTGATTCTTAATCATTTATTCCATTGAATCTAATCAAGGTCGACGAATTTTAGACATGCATGTAGATGGTTTTAAATGCGTCAAATAGAGGGCTCAGCATAGGTTCATCATCACACCTACGTTGACATACACGTAGCAGCAAAACCAAGTACCAATGTGGAAAATGAAGATTGCCTCTTTGCGAGGCGCCAAATCAGCACACAGCAGGTGTATGTAGATGTATTACACCAGGGCGTAGTACTGATATCAGGTGTATAAAGAGGCATTACACCAGGGTGTAGTTCATCCTGATAGTAGGTGTTTATAGAGGCATTACACTAGGGTGTAGTTCATATTAATAGCAGGTGTATAAAGAAGCACCACATTATAGGGCGTATATGTAGTTGTCCCTGATAGCAGGTAAATAGAAGCGCCGTATATGTACTGCGGTGTAGTTCACCCAGAAAGCAGGGGTGGTATTCTGAACATTGTTGTAAGTTTTGTGTTATCTTTTGTTGTATCTTCCAGAGATAACACAGCGCTAATATTGTTGTAAGTTGGTATTCTGAACATTGTTTTATCCCTGTGTTATCTCTTGAAGGACCGCCTCTATCTTATCTTTGACCATTGATGACACGCCCATTTTTATGGACCCTACCAATCAAAATCTATTTTATATAAGCATGATAAGTAGATCAACCAATAGGAATACTTTATGCCATATCTGAAGATGCGCCTAGCGCATACTAATCTTGGGCGTAATTAGTTATTTGAGCACTTATTACGCGCGTCATCATTATGCGCTGTTGAATGTGGATCATGAAGACAAATCACGCTTTCACTATATTGGTTAAGATGAGAGCATTAAAATAGTCCTATCCTAGCATGTAATATCTTAGAAAGTTCTCATCTGTGATGTTTCCGGTCAACACACAATCTTCTTCTAACTCGTCTATTGGCACGAAGTTGGTTCTGGGCAAAAAATATTGCCGCCATTATATCACCACGAAAGATACAACAACCCCCTACCTGTTGTAAATATTGTTGTAAATACCATGCAAGATAAGATAAGATAAAAGATACAACAACTTTCAGAATACCAATTATCTCGAAATATTATCTCCCGTACGCATATGCAAATGAGAATTAAATGCCACTTTATTAATAATACGCACAATTACAAGCGCACCAAAGTATGAGCGCAGGCGCGGCCAATAAGATGAGAGAAAAGATACAACAAAAGATAACACAAAAGTTACAACAATGTTCAGAATACCAACTTTATCTTATCTTCAACGATACAACAATATTAGAGATAACACAGGGTTCAGAATACCGCCCCAGGTGTGTATATACACACGCCACACCAGGGCGTAGTACATCCTGATAGATGTGTAAAGAGTCGCCACACCAGGGCGTGGTTCATCCTGATAGAAGATGTGTATAGAGGCGCCACACCAGGGCGTTGTTCTTCCTGATAGCAGATGTTTATAGAGCCGCCCAGTAGCGTATGCAGGATTTTTTCAGGGATGGGGGGGGGGGGGGGGGTGGGTTATCATTTTTAAATAGGGCCGAAAATTTTGCAACGACTCAGCCAGCCGCTAAATAAGTTGGGGAGGGGGGTAAGAGGACATTTTTTTTTTTAAATTTATTTAATTAAAAAAAAAAAGCCCCCAAGGGGGGGGGGCGTTCCAAAATACACACATATAACAAAACTCAAGGGGGTTAACCGCCAACCCCCCCCCCCCACCCCCCTGCGTACGCGCCTGGAGGCGCCGTACCAAGGCGTGGTTCGTCATGATAGATGTGTAAAGAGTCGCCACACCAGGGCCTAGTTCATTCTGATAGAAGATGTGTATAGAGGCGCCGCAACAGGGCGTGGTACATCATGATAGATGTGTAAAGAGGCGCCACACCAGGGCGTGGTTCACCCTGATAGCAGATGTATATGGAGGCACTACACCAGGGCGTGGTTCACCCTGATAGCAGGTGTATAGAGGCACCACACCAGGGTGTGGTTCACCCTGATATCAGATGTGTATAGAGGCGCCGCACCAGTGCGTGGTTCATCCTGATAGCAGGGCGAAGTTCATCCTGAAAGCAGGTCGTAGTTCATCCTGATAGCAGGGCGTAGTTCATCCTGAAAGCAGGTCGTAGTTCATCCTGATAGCAGGGCGTAGTTCATCCTGATAGCAGGGCGTAGTTCATCCTGATAGCAGGGCGTAGTTCATCCTGATAGCAGATGTATATGGAGGCACCACACCAGGGCGTGGTTCATCCTGATATCAGATGTGTATAGAGGCGCCGCACCAGTGCGTGGTTCATCCTGATAGCAGGGCGAAGTTCATCCTGAAAGCAGGTCGTAGTTCATCCTGATAGCAGGGCGTAGTTCATCCTGAAAGCAGGTCGTAGTTCATCCTGATAGCAGGGCGTAGTTCATCCTGAAAGCAGGTCGTAGTTCATCCTGATAGCAGGGCGTAGTTCATCCTGATAGCAGGGGTAGTTCATCCTGATAGCAGGGCGTAGTTCATCCTGATAGCAGGGCGTAGTTTATCCTGAAAGCAGGTCGTAGTTCATCCTGATAGCAGGGCGTAGTTCATCCTGAAAGTAGGGCGTAGTTCATCCTGATAGCAGATGTATTTAGAGGCGACGTATACATCTCGGCGCCATTTCCAGAGAAAATGCTGGATTCTCACACGACTCAACAAGGTTTATCCTTTGAACGGTATACGATTACTCCTCTTTTTAAAATCAGCTTAATTAGCCACGGACCAATACAACGTCAATACTTGGTTTATTTCACTGCAAAAACCCACAAGAAATACCTACCAAAATAGCATTTCGTTAGAAAATAGATTCCATGATAAAACAAACAAGCGAGAAGGAGAAGGACTGTTGTCAGACATACATCATTTTCATTTGAGAAATGCAAAAACTATTGCTAAAACAATCGTAGTCACTGTCTCCAATGTCTTGCTTGTATGAGCTTTGAAACTATTTAAAGATTTAAACAAAAACGATTATGATAGCATTTAGTTTATTTAATTACTGGAATATTAGTTTTAATAATCACTCAATCCACCACCGTGGTATAGACCGGAAAATGTCCTTTATAAAACATATAACATATGTTTTTGATTTGTTGTGGTATAATATATTATATCGAATGGTATAATATTATACTGGCATGTAATCATCTCATTTCTTTGACTTCAACGGTTGACCTCGTTACCGATAGTCCCCAGCGGGATCTAATTCATTGTGGTGTTGTTGCCATGCATATATTCGAGAGTATTTCTCTCTGTGTCTGTCTGTCTCTCTCTCTCTCCTCTCTTCTCTTCTTCTCTCCTCTCCTCTTATACTATATTCTCGTCTCTTCTCTTCTCTCTTTCGTTTACACATCATTACCTCCACGATGGCAAGTTATAATTAGATATTGTATATTAATCTATTTTATAATCAGATTCCTAGAAAATACAACTAAACAACAAATTATAAACCATAGTACGTTATAGACATGATATAGAATTATCACAAA